CACTAACAGATCGCTCTGTTCAAGATGGCGCGTCTTGGCATATCCCAATTGTCGAAGTCGAGGCAAGGCGAAACTCCACTTCAGCCTCGAATGACGACGGATCCTTCCGCCCGAGCGCAACGACGGAGAGTATGAAAAAGAGGGGCACATCTCGGTTTGTGGCTTTCATTTGAGAGCTTGCCATTGGGGGATTCCCCTGCGCAGGTACCAGACAACGCATGGCTCTCGAGATGACAGGCATCACAGAAACGACCACCCTGCGTCGAGTGTCTCTTGTGAGAGCCCAAATTCACAACATGGGATGAACTGGCAGATGTTGTGGGATTCAACAGATGAGGGGCAAATGTTGGCGCTGACTTGCTGTTGAATGCCTCGAATTTTGACATGTGATTGAAGATTGAGCTCTCCCTCCACCATCAAAATATGGGGAAACCTTGCGTCAGAGACTGCTTGGCTTTTGGGCGGAATATGGACTGTTCTTGGGCTTGCCACGGCCGGGTTAGGGGACGGTGACGGAGGAAAGCCGTGAAGTTTTCGATGACAGGACGCCGTTCTGGAAAGGCGGAGCTTGGACGACGTCGTGGGCATACAGATTTGACGGGCAGCCAATCAGAGCTGGCCTTGACTTACAAGTCCCCCACCCAAACATGAACGCCTCCCCAACAGTTTCCTCAACAAAATTCGGGAACGGCAAAAGTCACTTTGATCAAGGCTGGGGAGATACCCTCACCACCAGATGGTGCCATCCATATGCTATCCTCGGCAGAGCCCGGCAGGAGTCGCTGCAGCTGTGACCTGAGCTTGCACGCTTGCACCTTTGTCGAAGCCTCGGCCAGCGCTGATCGTGTCAGGGAGCTCGTGCGAGATATCGGGTGTCATCCCCGATATTCATCCTACGGCCACTCAATTCCCCAACCAAAATCACTTCTGTAGTGAGAACAGAATTGGCCACCGCAGCAGTTCCTGCTTCCGCCGGCTTTCATAGCCGCCCCGCTCCACAGATTGACAGCATCCGGAATCTGCAGAGGCAAAAGCAGGTGCAGAGAGGTGCAAAAGGCTGGATTCACACACTTGCATTCCTGGTGGACCAATCGCTGTTGAGGAAATCCGTTGACGCTGGACAAGAGAGTGACCTGGGTGGCCTGCAATTTCGTATGCAAGATTAAGTACCCAGGAACCCGGCACCCGCATGCCACCACAATCCTGACGCCGGGCCTCACTCAACCCACCGCTCCCCCCGCCTAAACCCACAGCTTAGACCCTTGCTTGAACCATCCTTTCGTATAAAACTTTCAAGCCAGCCCTTTCCTGCTTTGACTTTTGCTTCCCTCTTGCCTGAGACCCCTCCACATCCGCCCTTCCGCGAACCTCTACACCTCTTCAACACATCAACGACGAGAGAGGACTAAGGCCGACGTCCTCATCGACCGCGATATTGTCAACCTCCGCGACCTCCGCCCTCAACATGGCGTCGTCGTCATCTGAGGTTCCCGCTTCGGCGGTCCTCCAGGCCGAGTCCTTCCCCGACGGAACCAAGGACTATGTCGCCATCCGCAAGAAGAACTGGGACATCAAGAAGCCTCGTACGTTGCCATTTCTGTTCATATCCGGTCGCTCCGGCATGCTAACAGCGTTTCCCAACAGATATCACCGACCAGCCCATCACAGCCAAGAACTGGTACAAGCACGTCAACTGGCTCAACACCACCTTCATCATCTTCGTCCCCCTTACGGGCCTCATCTCCTCGTACTGGGTACCACTGCAGATGAAGACCGCCGTCTTCACTGTGCTCTACTACTTCTTCGCTGGTCTCGGCATCACTGCCGGTTACCATCGTCTGTGGGCTCACACCTCGTACAAGGCCACCCTTCCCCTCAAGATCTTCCTTGCCGCTGGCGGCGCCGCCGCTGTCGAGGGCAGCGCTCGGTGGTGGTCCAGTCTCCATCGTTCTCACCACCGTTACACCGATACTGAGAAGGATCCCTACTCCGTCCGCAAGGGTCTGCTCTACAGCCACATCGGCTGGATGGTCATGAAGCAGAACCCCCGCCGTATCGGCCGTACCGATATCACCGATCTCAACGATGATGCCGTTGTTGTCTGGCAGCACCGCAACTACATCAAGTCTGTCATCACCATGGCCCTCCTTGTCCCCATGCTCGTTTGCGGTCTCGGCTGGAACGACTGGGCCGGTGGCTTCGTCTATGCTGGTATCCTCCGCATCTTCTTCATCCAGCAGGCCACCTTCTGCGTCAACTCCCTTGCCCACTGGCTCGGTGACCAGCCCTTCGATGACCGCAACTCACCGAGAGATCACGTCATCACTGCCCTCGTCACTCTCGGTGAGGGTTACCACAACTTCCACCATGAGTTCCCCAGCGATTTCCGTAACGCTATTGAGTGGTGGCAGTATGACCCCACCAAGTGGTTCATCTCGATCATGAAGTTCCTCGGATTCGCCTACAACCTCAAGACCTTCCCCCAGAACGAGATCGAGAAGGGCAGACTCCAGCAGCTCCAGAAGAAGCTTGACCAGAAGCGTGTCACCCTTGACTGGGGTATTCCTCTCGAGAATCTCCCCGTTGTCAGCTGGGACGACTTCGTTGCGGAGTCCAAGAACGGTAAGGCGTGGGTTGCCATCGCTGGTATCATCCACGATGTTGGCAAGTTCATTGCCGACCACCCCGGTGGCAAAACTCTGATCAGCTCTGCTATCGGCAAGGACGCCACTGCTGTCTTCAACGGTGGAGTCTACAATCACTCCAACGCTGCCCACAACCTTCTCTCTACCATGAGAGTCGGTGTTCTTCGTGGCGGTTGCGAGGTTGAGATCTGGAAGCGCGCCCAGTCCGAGAACAAGGACGTCCAGACCGTTACCGACTCATCCGGCCAAAAAATTGTCCGCGCTGGTAACCAGGCCACCAAGGTCGTTCAGCCCGTTTCCACTGCCGATGCTGCTTAAGTGTGACAAACAGCACTCAGCATAGGACAACATGTACAAAAATATCACCCCCGCCACGATCAGACGGCGTTCAACGGGGTAGTCTGCGACCTGGAGTTGGTGGCTTTGTTTCTCACAACACCCAGAGAGTCGACAACTGACATGACTCACGGGTCCTCGGTGTCAGTTGGGTAGTCGGACAGCGTGGAAAGACGATAAAACATACCTAGCTCACACTCATTTATGACTTGGTAGCAGGCGGTTTTGGTTTTCCTTTTTCTGCGAACAAAAAAGAGGTATCCCATACATCTGTTTTTAGGGCGTTTTCGAGAGATAAATCGGGCAAAGCATTGGAACTGGTGTTCTTTTCATTTAGTTATTTTTTTTTGGGGAATTGACTGCATCATCAACCTATGACTTTTTGGCTTTTGAAGACATGAAAGAATAGCATGGCTTCGGGAGAGCGTATTTGTCGAGTAATGACCTAAGGCATATATATGTAAACAAAGACTTGTGAAGTAGAGATAGGGGTGACAGTAGGGGTCGGTGAATTGAGAAGGATCAAAATATGGCAAAGCGTCTGCCGTTTGCATGCGGTTTGTGAAAATTGAAGTGACATCGGGCCGGGGGGGTGGGGCATCTCCCTCAGACTCCATCCACAAGGCTGCGGCTTTGTCTAGCTTGCCATGTCTTTCTCAGCTGAGGAGATTGCTCTGCTAGCTTGTGGAATGTGATTTGAGACTGATGGTATCAAAAAAAAAAAAAAAAAAAAAAACCCGAAGCTCGATGAAGCAAAACAAGACATGCGGGCAGAGAGAAGTTACACTTAAATGTGTAAGTGTAAAAAAATTGATCGGCCATATTCTCTCCCGCCGGGAATTGAACCCGGGTCTCGAGCGTTGTTGGAATGACAAGCTCACATACTGACCACTATACTACGGAAGATTTACAAGTGTTAACACTTATCGTAGCTTGCTGTTGGAGGCAGATAATGGGTACATCAAAGGAAATCCTCTAGCAAACACTGCGACCCCTTTTTCCGCGAGGCTACCGATACCATATATTGATCTTTGCTAGCTAGCACCCGAGAACAGAACTCACTTCGTTCGGCCTTGAACCAGAAGACTTCCCTGTGGATTTTGCTCTGGTTGGGAGATGTCGTCACGGCACTGATCTATCTTAGCCTGCAGGAGTCGCATGCTATTTAGCCAACATTTTAAGAGATGGCGTTGACATTGATGCCACGGCGGACTCTGCCTGTCAACATACTAGTCTCAAGACGAGCCCTTTCTCGATAATTATATACCTTGCTAATGAGTCGTTTCATGTAACTTCAGGGTATCGGCTAAAAAGTACAGGTATTGCGCCCCGAAGTCGGAGTCTAGCTACCTAGCAAAACTAGGATATCTCATTTTCTCTTCACCATCATACGAGCCTCCTCTTTACGCTATTTAGACACATCCTATTAGTCTGTAAAAGTTTGAGTTCCATGAGGAAAGTTTTCTTGTTACCCGAGCTTGATGTCTGTACACATTTGAGGGCTCCGTAAAGGTCTCTGGAACCTGGCAGGTTTACTTTCTCGTGGGTGTCAGCTCACAAGAGAGCCCGCGGGTTTGTTCTCAAAGCCACCTTACATTGCAATCAATGTGTGTATACACTGCAACGTATAAGAGGTACTAGGTGCATTTCTGATCCTGCAAAAGTTTATTTTCAGTCTTGAAGACAATAAACGTAGTAGATAGGTTCCAAAGAATGTACATATCCGTCTTGATCTCTCTCTCTTTCTCTTACAGCATGCCTGACAAGCATACGCACACATCACAAATCATATCACAAATAAATTGAACATGGCTTTATGTTCTGTCAACATATTGTCGCTAAAGCAGACTAAGACTTAAGCATCAGCGTTCGAGTCACCGAATGTAAACTTCCGCCCAAACTCATAAGGAAGGAGCAACCACCCCCTCTCCCAGTCACCACGCCGTCCTTCCTTCCCTCTCTAGCTCCTTCCCATACATACCACCTTCCCACATCCTTTCCCAACAAGAAAATTAACACTCCCATATAGTGTAGTGGTTAGCATGTCAGGTTTTCAATCTGCTCCTGCCCCTAAGCAGGAGTGAACGTAACTACCCTGGAGACCCGGGTTCAAACCCCGGTATGGGAAAACTTCTTTTGCCCTGTTCTAATACTATTCTGCTCATTTATGTCGTGTTGCTTTTAGGGTTGTTTTATATTTCTTTTTACATGTCACATCAAAACCATCAATCAACCCATGTTCATCTCTACCTTTATGTGAAGGAACCCCTGACATCTTTTGATACCGTTAGTTTTCTACGTCTTCGAGAAACGTTTCAGTTCCTCTGACATCACCTACTACTCCTCCTTGCCCGAACGTGTCGAGCAAGGCCGGAAACCGCCCCTGGCGCTCCATTCGAGCCAGTTGTCAAAGATGAATACCGTCTACAGTCAGAGAGCCCTCTTGATGTACGCCGATGTGCGGCCAAAACGGCAAAAGCAAACACAAGCAGGAGTTCCATTATCATCTGACACACATGACGGCAAGAACAACACATCAAATTTGTAAAATGACGATTGTGTAGACGAGGCTTGACGTGTGGTATTTTATTTAGAGATCCGTCTATTTTTGTTCACATCTGGCATACATGTATAGACATTCCCATGCAAGCATCTTAAATGGAGAAGAAGGCGGCATGTTAGCAATGAGAAGTAAAGTAATGAAGCTTCTTGCCACCGAACCGAGAATTTACAAGACCAGAGAGAATGAGATCACCCACGCTAAAGGGGGTTCTCAAGACGGGGAGTGAAATAGGCAGTAAACCAGACGACACCCACAACAAAACTTCAAAGAAGAATAACCCAAAAAAGAATAAAACAAATGTTGAGATATGTCGCCGGCAGGCCAGTTGATTAGGCCCTGCCGTGTAAGTCGGAAGCAATTAGCTGAAGACTCTGGGGTCCTTGGACTGCGAGGTACGACGGCGCTCGGTGGCACCGAAGGAAAGTAAGTATAGGGAACTATGCCCTGCAAAAGAAAAAGAAGTAGGGAACCATGCCCTGTAAATAGAATGGCAGACACTGAACTGCAGGGAACTGTGCCCTGGAAGAGAGTATGGTAAACCAGTATATTGGCTTTGACTGTTTGATTTGAACTTGAACTTGAGAAAAAAAAGACCATTCCAAATACACTGCGAGGGGAGCTTTTTATAGGCATCCAAGACCTCGTTTTCCTCCTTATCGATCCCCACAACTTCCATCGGTTCAGTTGGCCACAGTGGCTTGTAAGAGAACTTTGTAGCTCCTTGTAACCGCTGTGGGCGTTATGGGCGTTGTGACTTGAAGCCTTTGAGTGCTGTGAGCCACGAGAAAGAACCTGCTGTAAAATCCACAAATAAGTGCTGTATTTCAACAGCAAACAACGTTGAAAAATACACACCCAAAGTGCTTTTCGTGACGGGAGAGACTGGACCAGGAGTTAGTCGGGTGAACCTAGGTCCTTATGCTCCAACTCAGGAAGTGTTAGTAACCGCTTATATGGCCCTACCACGCCACAGAAGTTCTGCTGGAAGAAAAAAAGGGGGGGGAATCAAGTGTGCAAGCACTTGTGGTCTGAGTTGTGTAGCGAGATGATGAGGATGATGATGAAGATGATGAAGAAGATGATGATGGAAGTGTCCGTTTTCTTTTAACTAGATTGGATGTGTCGTACCGTGAGGTTTGAAGACCGCCTCCTTACTAATACAGTCCAGCCCATGCCACCCACCCCCCCGCTTCCTCTCGGCCGAGGGAAAGGAAGATGGATGGATGGGTGACAGTGTCGTGTAAGTCTTCATGTCGACACAACACCTAACCAAACACCTCTAAACGGAGAACATTCAGTCGAACCAACCAGACATGGAAGTTCAGACGGTTCATTAGTCAAAGAGGATCAAGCTACTCCTACGTCCTACGTAGGAAAATAGATCAACAAAACATCAGTATTTCTATACTATACACATAAATATTTTCCAATCCTGAGGCGTATGTTAGATAATGCAGGCATTAAGGGTATATATCATAGTTAATCATCATGAGAAGACCATCATAATAACTTGGGAAATTTTATGTCTGCGGTATCAAGGCAAAACAAAGGTATCTTTTTTTGTCTTGGTACTTAACAACATAAGGTAGCTCCCAAAACAAAACAATATGTGACACAATAAGTAGTCTTCCAATCTGGGTTCAAATAAAACGGAAAAAAAGAGCAAAGTCAACTTCCAACTTCCAACATCAATCTACCTCCACTCTAGCCATCGCCCTCCTTTTCTGACCAAGTCCCCTGAAAAGGTCCTACCTACCTACCCCTCTTACCACAGCATCAGCCAAAATCCAGACAGCAATGAAAAAGAGTTCACCGTCAACTGCAACCGGGCCCAAATGCTGAGCCTATCCTCCAGAAGAAAATGAAAGCCAAAGAAATTCCACAGACAACACAGTAAAAACCAAGGCGGCAACAACAATAACAAGCACGCACCAAAACACGCAATATCGGGGTATTCATCTTCTTGTATTCTTCATCTCTTCACTTTTTGCTCCAGGAGAGCCTCCTCCTGCTCCGTTGCCCCCCCCCCCCAACGCCCAGTCTCCGCCGTGTACTTTCCCACCTAGTACCTTTCCTTCTCAACTTCTGTTCTCATCTTCATCCTTGTGGTATCAAATCATCTCTTCAAATCCCATCTACCCCTGTCTCCCTCCGACACATATTTCCCTTTTCACATTCCATCCTATCTGTCCACTCATCCATCCACCTCACAGCACACACACCCCGGGTATAAAACTGCTTTTTCAGGTATCAAGAAGAAAACCGAAAAATGTCAACGACATCAAAAACCGTTTGTCATCCTCCTTCCTCCAAAATGAAAACGAAAATGGAAAAGCAGAAACAAACATCATAATGCGTCAAGAAAAAACCAAAATTGGTAAAAAAGTTGTCCCTGCTCTTTTTCGTCTTCATTCCTGTCCTCCTTCCATGGTAGGGATGTAAACAAGCTCTTACATTTGTCGTCCCATTAATCCATTGCTGAGTGTTCCTCAAGAGAAGAAGCCCAAAAAGAAAAAAAAGAAACGAAACAGGAAATCAATGAGAAATGGAAAGGTAACACAAACCAAAAATCCGCGCGCGTCCAACTGAGATTCGAAAAGCAAACAACACAACTGCCAGGGTATTTTACTTTACGCCATGGGGTATATCCAGCCATAAGGGGTATTGGGTATTTCTCTTTTCCTCGCCGCAACACGCCAGAGAAAAAAAAAGCAAACAATACGTGTCTAAAATCTGGCGAAATCACAACCATCGAGCACGTTAAACGTTAACGAAATGGCCCAAGAGGGCCGGGGTATCCTGAATTTGTTGAATGAGAGGTGGAAGGACGCCCGCTGTCGGCAGACTGACGGGCGGTGTGGCGTGGGGTCATATCGCCGTGGTGAGGTACGGTGAGCTTGTTGCCAATGCCATTGCCAACCAGGACTGCCGAGGGCCAAGGGCTACCGGATTCTTCGTCGGCAAGGTTGACACCGCTGTCGTTCCAGGGGTTGCGGTCAGCGTTGAAGCTCCGAGTCGACTCGATCGACACAAGTGACGACTTGGACACATTGCTGGAGCCCTTGAAAAAGCTGGTGGCAGACTGCGAGCTGTTTTTTCTCCGGTCCAAGAAAGACGAGATCGACGACATGCCGCTACCAGGTCTGCGAAGACGTTCCAAAAGACTGGACCGCTCCCGAGCAGTCTCCTCACCGAAGGAAGGCTTGGTAGGAGAATCAGTAGCAACCGGAGCGGGTGCATGCTGAAGAAGCTTGGAGTCGAAGAACGGCAGCGACTCTTCGAACGTGTCCGGCTTCGGGCGGGACAGAGCACCTCTGATGAAGACAGGCTCCACTCCAGCGGTGGCAAACTCGCCCTGAAGGAAATCCATGGCATCAGAGACGCCGCCTGCGTTGTTGCGGGTGAACTGCCAGAGCAGAGTGACCGAAGGATTGCCATTGGAGGCGCGCTCCTCGGGGTTCTCGTGCACGGTTACATCGACTTCGTACTGGGCCTTCAGTTTGGGAACAATGTTCTGCACAAATTCCGGCGATTCCAGGAACTTGATCAGTGAAGGAGTCCGCTCCATCACGACTTCGTGCTTGTCGGGGACCATGCCCTGAGAAGATTATGTCAGCCATCTTGCAGACTTGCAAGCAAACAAAAAAACGGCTGGAAGACTAAACGAGAAAGAAAAAAAAAAGTACTTACCAAAAAGGAATCAATGCACTTTGGCACCAACCATTGGGGGCCAGACACAGTAAGTTCATCGGTGGCCTGTTCCGTACTGGGGAAAACAATCTTGCAGTTCCACTTCTTTTCCATTTCTTCAATCTCGGGCAATCTGGAAAGAAGTTCGCGGTGGTAGAGGCGGTCAATCTTGACGGTTTGGTTCATGAATTCAGAGTCCTTTACCGAGGCATTCACGTTAGCGCTTCTGGGATCTACATGAGGAAGGGGGCTTCTTACAACCCTATCAACCATCTCCAGAATCTCGCTCTTTACAAGCTCAAGATTTTGGGCGTTGCGTGCCGGGGTGCGGCAAATAACATTGTCGACTCTAGAATCATCATCTTCCCGACTGAGACCGCCTGAAGTGTGTCAGTAAGAATCCAGCAAACGAGTCCAAAAGCGGTTGACTCTACCTCTATCCATTGCGTTCGAGAACTTGACAAAGACCGAGTACTTCTTCATGATGCGCTGAATATGCTGTCCACCAATGCCAATAATGCGTTTGTGGTACTGATCCGGGACGTGGAAGGAAATCGATGCCGGCATCTCTTGTTCCACCAGGGTCAACCCGTGCTTGACAGCGTCATACGAATGTGTGACTACCTCAATGTTGAAGTTGTATTCACCAAACGTCTCGAACATGATCTGCACATTGCTCTGTCCCATAATCTTGTTGATCTTGCCATTCTTCTTTCCGCTCACAAATTCCTTATGTTCGTTGGCGAGCTCGATCTTGACTCGAATCTGGGAACTGGAGTGGCTGACCCATTTGATTTCATGGATCACCGACAGAGCAGCCTTGACGGCCTCGTCCGAGCCTGTAATGGTGAAGCACATCTTGTCAAAAGTCACAT